ATTTTATAAAATTTATAATACAACAATAATAAAATCGCCTAATCTCTTTATGCTTGTCACTCGTTATGTTTAGTGGCACCACTACACGAGTGTAACCATGTCACAGACACAGAATCTCTGTGTGAGAATCGCTACATCAATATGGCGGAAGGCAGTCCCCCCCGCACGCTTGAATTACCATCCCCTCTCGCCTAAACTAGGACTTTAGACTCAGTCCCTCTATTCCTTAAGCCTTGTGTCCACGATACTAGAACTCTGTCCGAGATCTCGGACTGAGGGAAAGTTACTAGAACTCGGATCATGTACACACTGCATTTGGATGTAAAATTCGAATAAGAAGCTCAAACGAAAAAATGCGTTGCGTCCCATTTTTTGGTACGAGTTATTGCGAGTTATTAGATTTTACTAGTTTCTTTTACTATCTGTCAAGACAAAGTATAAGATACTTATAGTGATATGAGATACTGTGAACAATATAAATAATATTTCAGTAAGTAATTATAGAATTGAAAAAATAAAAGAAATATAATTCTTAAATAAAATTAATTAATAAGATTAATAATTAATAAGATTTACATAAGTAGTTATTATTAGTTTTAATGCAGATTAAATTAGACATTAAAAATATATTATAACCTATATATACATATTATTTTTCAAAAAAAGTATAATAATATATAAAATTGATTTTCAGAAAAAACTTCTTTTATAATAAAAAATGGATAATAAAGAAAATGTTAAAATTTTATTAATGTTATATCATCAACATTCTTGTTTATATGTTACAAAAAGTGTTGATTATCATAATCGTATGAAACGAGATCAAGCTTTACAGATAATCTGTAATCAGTACAAAGAATTAACAGGACAACCACTAACAACTGAAATTGCAAAAAAGAAATTAATAATTTAAGATCACAATATCTGGACCATCTAAATAAAATAAAAGATTCGAAATCAAGCGGTGCATCACTTGATGATATCTATAAACCAACTTGGCAATATAACATAGATCAGAAAATCATCGTAAAGAATCGTAACTCGATTACAACGCTAACTATATTCAGCCAAGTATAAATATTATTGTTCGAGGACTCGGACCGAGATCTCGGATTGAGTTCTAGCATCGTGGACACAAGGCTTTAGTCCGTGGTTGGAACACACTTTTGGAAAAAAATGGCAACAAAAAAAGATTTTAGACAAATTTCCTTAGCATATTAAAAAAAAAGACAATATAAAAATTTCTAGATAATGTTTCCTAGCAAATTAAGAAAGACAACAAAAAACTCTAAATAAAATTCCCTAACAAATTAGAAAAGAGCGGCAACGTATCTAATGTTATAAATGCTGTAAAAAAAATTATTTTGACATTGAACTATATACATACTAAAATGCTTCGTGACTCCCAAAACGTGGGATGACAAAGAAGATAGCAGATAAACCGTGGTTTTTTTTATAAGTGCATTGAAAATCTCTTTTTTTTCTATATCATCATACAATTTATATATATTTACTAACCCGTTAAAAAAGAAATCTTTCAATGTACATATAAAGAAAAGACCGATGTAAAAACATTTATGTATCTTTATTAACATTTTTTACATTTTTTTAATAGTTACATTATGATCTGTGCTTCGCATTTATTTTTTATATAAAGATAGGTATAATAGGTAGACAGTAATGCATACTACCCCCTCTCTCCCCACCTCTTGCGTTATCGGATGTGGTACACTTCTTGCGAAATATTTCAATTTCGTAAACGATAATTTCTTTTGTTTTTGTCATTCGTTTAATATAATATATATAAATATCGATATATTTCCGTGTGTATCACTCTTTACAATTTCAAACGGAAATATTTTATCTAATGTTTCGCCGTCCTCTGTCGGACTTTGTTTTCTTTTTTTAATATTTCTAGTAAACTGCTGTTGACACACATTGACAAAATTACACACTTGACACAGTCTTATGCAACAGCTAAGATACAATATGCGATAGAAGTGCAGTTTTATGCAATGTTATTAATTAATTTTATAACCACTTTATTTGAGAAGCAAGTAAAATAAATAAGTAAACTGGATTCAACAAGATAATAAAAAATTTATATAAATATATATATATATATATATCTTATATATCCTGATCATTCATAATTATTATTTCATACCATTTTATTAGTTATGTATATCTGTTTCTTTTTTCACTTGACAAAATCATTACACATGTAAGATATATGTATAAAGTGCTGCTTGTTAAAATTAATTAAGTATTTAAGAGTTGATATAAATCAATTTGTAATATAAAACTTGATTTCTTGCGAGAATTATTGATCTATTAAATTCATTCTAAATCAAAGTCAAATATGTTTAAGAACAATTTTGATTGCTTTTTACAGCTGAATCTATCTCCAAAATTTACTAACGTATTTACTTGAAAAACATTCTACACATGTATGTTCTTATATAAAATGTTCATGTAAGTAAATCATAATTGTAATAACAACGTGAAACTTGTGAATTTCTTTTGAATCAGTCATCAAAACATTGCTTCAAGATGCTCATTTTATCAATGTGAGACGCAGTAAAATACATTGATTAATTTCAGTACATTTTTCACAGTCTCGATTTTGTCTCTTGCTATCACTCATCATTTTTATATCTTCAAGCTGCAATTGAAATCTATCTCAATCACTGACATTAATATCAAAGGAATTGCAGCAAATTCATAACAAAGTAACTAACAGTCAGGTAACAGTTAGGCACTATTAACAAATTATATACTCTGTATATATATTCTGTCCTCAACGGACATACTGTCAGTAGGCTGTTGAAAATTTTAGTATATTTATCAATGTAAAAAATAAAAAATAATTTTTAAAATAACTAGAAATAATTTTGTTGCAATATAAAGTTATTTACTATAACATATATTGAACATAATTACTAGCTAAATGAATCAAGTTGAATTCATTATTTAAACAATAAATTGCTCAGTATTGCAATTGAAAACGTATTTGTGCGTGTAAAAACATATAATCTCTTTGACATTAATGTCACACATTTTTCTGATATATACATATAAATACACACACGCACACACACGCACGCACGCACGCACGCACGCACGCACGCACGCACGCACGCACGCACGCACGCACGCACGCACGCACGCACGCACGCACGCACGCTACGCACGCACGCACGCACGCACGCACGCACGCACGCACGCACAAAACACACAATAGAGCATAGATGTTATATCTCTTCAATATTGTAATTATTTAAATACCTATTGACATAAGCATACAGATGAATTTCATCTGAGCCATAATTTCAATCGCAATGCATCTACACCATTTAAGTAATATCGAAATAATCGTTTATCGCGCACAAATCCAAGGTTCTCGTACAAACGTAGCGCCGGTCTGTTAGTGATCTCTGTTTCCAAAACTACCTCGTCTGCATCATCCTCCACCATCGCTTGAATAGCTCGTCTTACCAAATTTGATCCAATCTTCCGTTTACGATATTTTACATCAACGGCTAGCATCGCAATATAACCACGTTTTATCACCTTCCTGTGGATATCCAGTTTGCAGACAATGGCACCGACACACTCGTCACCATGCATTGCCTACATGAACAAAAAGCAAGAGTTTTGTGTAAATTCTACATCTGAAAGTCAAATAAGTCGAGCCAAACTAAATTCTATTTCGTTTTCTATATATTATCTAAAACCATTAATATCTAAATGTAATGACATAAACAATAATTGCTAAATCTTTTACTAACATTGTAAGAATGATATACTTGTAAGATATCAATTATATATATGTATATTAATATCACTTAAGTACAAAACATAAGCTAAGGATCTTTTACATACCAGGAAGCACAATTTCGGCCAGTTATGGATAAAATATCTATATGTGTAAATAGAGTAAGGTTCGCTTAGGTCCTTCTGTATTAACTTCATAATATCAGGCATTTGTAATTCGCTCATATAGCTAACATATTGGATATCGTTGTCTTTACTTTCCACAGATAATGTTTCTGCTTGTTCTGTAACATAATAAAAAATAAATATTTTAATTCTTACCATTGTGCAAAGATACAAAAAGAACAATTATACAATATCCTATTAATAAATATTTCAAACTTAAGTTCAATTTATAAAACTTAATTTTTAGAGAGCCACGATACATTATAATTTCTCAAAATCATACATTTTGCAAAAAGTTGTATGTTGAACATATATATATTGTTTTCTAGATTTTTAATCATTATAATTTGAAATAAATCTTAAAATTTTTTAAAGCTTATTAAAAAATATCAAATATTACAAAAACATTTTTAAATCACCATCTAATTCAATCTCTAAACTGAGTCGGAGA